GTTGTCAACTTGGAAGTGATTACCATAATATTGTTTTCAAGTAAAGCAAAACTAAAAATTGGAAAGAGTACCCACAAGAGCATCTCCATCACCTAGTACTTAATCACCTGTGATGTGGGCAAGACATCTACTGGATACGATGCCATCTTAATGAAAATTTGTTCTTTGGAGAACCATGAAACTCGAATTGATTTTTATCTATATACTACACAAAGCATTTTTCTGTCATGGGCCACCCTCTTTCTTTTCTCCTCAGCCTCCCATTGCCATCTGGCTCACGGCCCATCATGTTCCAGAAACCACAAAGGCAACCAGCTCATCTTCCCTGGACCTCACGGAGAGCACCGGAGAGAGGGGAGCAGCAGGGCTGGTCATCCCACACATCCTTTTCTGCCTCAGACTCCGGTTTCTTTAGAGCAATGGCAGGGAAGAAATCTGAAGGATGCTCTCTGCGGCAAAGGCAACATTGTAGCGCTAGCCTGAATTGGGGGTTCAGCAGGGCCTCCCCTGCCTTTTCAACAGGAACAGGTGCACGCAGAGTTGGGAGGCAGAGGCACCGGGAACCACTCTCATTTTCCTGATAGGAGTAATTCCATCATTCAGAACTCCTTGGTGACTGAACAACCAGTAGGCTGGAAACTCTTTCCAAGAGCAAGGAGGCCTTCCCTGGGCCTACTTTCTTCATTTAGGATGTAATCTAACCCCAAGTGTTGGATTTAGTTTACCTGGGTTTTCTTTCAGTTTCCTTCTTAAAATATCACGGTCCACTGTAGTCAGAAGTTTTCCTGTCCCAACCGCCTGCTCCCATTCTGGCAACTGTTTCCAAATTACCACCCCGAGACTTAATATTATTTATTAAGTTGGCCAACAACTTAGACTTCCTCCTAACCAGCTCTTAATTTTTAAGTTCACCCATATTCCTTATTTACTCTCTGCCACATGGTGGTACCTTTGTTAGCATGGCAGGTTCATCTCCTGATCCCTCTGCACCTGTCTGATGACCCCTCTGGCTCTGTCCTCCTTCCCATCACTCTCAGTTGGTTTTGCCACCTAGCTTCCTGCCAGGCTACTGACCTGTCAGCTTTTTATTAGCCAATGGGTAATGCACATTCACAGTGTACAGAAAGATTATTGGACAACAGTCCGCCTTTCACAGGATAACTCCCGATGAAAACTGTGAGGAACATTCAGTCTTCAGATAACCAAGGACACACAGTTAATGGCTGACTGGGCTTTCTCTGCCAGCAGACTGGATAAATTTTGAGAATTAAAGAAACGGGGTGAGCAAGATAATTCATCAGGTAGACACACTTGTGACAGGCCCTAAGACCTGACTTTGCTGTCCAAATGGCTGCGGGCACTGGCTCCTGTAAGCTGTTTGGGGTGGAAGAAGTGGCTCTGCTGGGAGCAGGTGATATCCTAAATGTCCGAACAGGTAGTGGCATGTGGTGGAGTGGCAAGTGAATAAGGCAAGAGAATCATTATTTGGAACCTATCACATGAACTCTCTTGCTCTAAAACAGTCCAATACATACTGTGTAAAATAGACTCAAAGTCATCTCTCTTTTCTGCTTAAAAACCTCTAATTATAATAATAGGTCAACTTCAACTGCGGAATAGATAAAAAGATTGTGGTATAGCCATAGAATGGAAAAATCTCAGCCACAGAAAAGAGTGAGGCACTGATATATACTGCAATAAGGATGAGCTACCAACATAGTGTGCTAAATGAAAGAAATGAGCCGTGACAGACCACATACTGGATAAAACGTCTCGGAAAAGCAAAAGAAGACAGAGGCTGCCCGCTGAGCAGTATGGGGTTTCCCTTTGGGGTGATGAAAACGTCCTGGAATTAAAGAGAGATGAAATTAAACGATACTGTGAATGTAGAATTGTTCACTTTATAATGGTTAATTTCTAGTAAAAAGACACCATGGTGCGCTTGGGAGGCAGAATTGAGGCTAGGTAGAAACACAGGAGAAAGGAAAAGGGAAAAGCCCTTCACTCCAGCCTTTGGCTGAAGCCTCTCACCACCTGGAACTCAGGAATTCCAGCATGCCGTCATGCCCGATGAAGGCTGCCTATGTGGAGACAATATTCCTTGTAGGCAGAGATATGTTTTAGAATTTATGCTTTATCTTTAAATATGCACTACTCTGTGTGAGAGTATATGCACATGTGTGTACGCACCCTTGGAGGCCAGAAGAAGACATTGCATCCCCTAGAACTGGAGTTACAGGTGTTTGGGAGCTGCCCGGTAGGTGCTGGGAACTGGACGAGCATGGGTGAGCAGTATTTACTCCACTGCCATCTCTCCAGAAGATAATGTTGCTAAAATAGCCTAGACCTATTCGACCTTGAGGTTAGTGCTGTTAGCTCCTAGCTGGGGAGCTGCAGTTTTCAGGTAAGCTCACAGACAAGAGTGTAAATTGTTTACAGTTAAGCTACCCGATCTTACCATGTCACACCCGTGATCTAGGGTGTTAGTTTTCAGCTTGCAATGCTAGTCAGCCCACCTCAGAAACCACTCTGGTCTCCTTTACAGTCCTTCACAAGTCTTTGAAGATAGTAACTTCAGAATGCACTCAAATGTTTTTACGGCTCAAATCGCGACAATTAACTGGAACTAACCTCTAAGAAACCCACATCCATGCTCTTGGGTGTGTCTTATTCTTTCCCCCAGTGTCTCTCTTTCTATTAGCTCCCATGCTTCAGTATATGTTAAAAATCACTTCTCGAGCACTAGTGAGCTAACTCACAGAGCAAAAGGGTCTGCCATTCAGACGAATGATCTGAGTTTGATCCCAGGAGCCTACATGGTGGAAGGAGAGAATAAATTCCTGCAAGCTGTCCTCTGTCTCGCCCTTCACACAGTGGTGTGACTGTGCCCCTCTCCCACATACACACAAAGAAATAATAAAGGGAAAAGAATCTCTCCAACTTTCTCTACTCCTTCATTGGACACCCTGGGCTCTTATGCGATTCCTTTCTAAGCCAGACCCATTGTCACCTCTCACTCCCCTGGACTAACGGTTCCTTTTGCTTGGAAGAAACTTAGCGCACTGACAAACTTCTAACTGATGACCTCTAGCTTGCCAGACACATTTACTGCCTCTGAGGATTTGCCCCCAGACTGGAAGAGACTTCTTCCAATACCCACTAGGCTGCCTTTCTCACTTCTCGGGTAAGATTTTATTTCTAAGAAGCCTAGCTTCCCCATCTCCTCCTATTTCCAAACACCAACCTTTAACTACCATCCCTTTCATCCTAGTCTACCTGACCGCTTTCCTTCTTGGTGAACTGTCTATTGTAACCGCTTTGCTCTGTGCATTCCCTTTCTCCCTCCCCTCCCCAATGACTAGAATGTGGCTCCATCAAGAAAGGATTTTAATAACTTTCCCATTCTGGGCTTGATTTATGTTAATTTTTTAAAAGGTCTACAAAATCAAATAACAAAGAATTACACATGACAACAGAATCAATTGAGGGAAATATCCACAGAAAATGAAGTCTCAAATCTAATAGAGAAGCGACTTTATGGCTTTTTATTCTCTGCTAACGTTTACATATTCCATGGAGGCCTTAGCTCATTTAGACTTAAGTTAAAAACCAGTCTCCTTTATCACACGTCACATGAGCTTTGAGGCTGCAGGAAGGAATCTGGGTTGAAAGCTATTAATCCGACACACACTTAGATAAAGATGCTATGATGGAATACATTATTTGTCATGCTACTCTAAAAAAAAGTAATAAAAAGAAAGTTATAAAGAAGGTGGCATAAGCGTACAACACTTTCTATTAAGAGAAAGCACCTTAGAGAAAAATGCAGTAGCTAGGTGTGATTTCATACACTTTTATACCCAATACTCAGGAGGCAAAGTAAGTGGATCCCAGAGTCACAGGCTAGTCTGGTCTACAGAGTGAGTTCTAGGACAGCCAGGGCTACACAGAGAGACCCTGTCTCAAAAGAAGGAGAAGGAGAAGGAGAAAAAGAAGAAAGAAGGAAAGAAAGAAAGAAAAAATATTGCTTCTACTTTGATCCCAGATCTACTTAGTTTCTAAGAGTAGGGGACAAAGCAGCATTATCTGCTTCCTTCCTGCTTTCTTTTCTTTCTTTCTTTCTTTCTTTCTTTCTTTCTTTCTTTCTTTCTTTCTTTCGTTCTTTCTGACACAAGGTTTCTTGTATTCAAAGAGTGACTTTGAGCTCGCTTCGTAGTCAAGAATGATCTTGAGCTTCTGACTCTCCTGCTTCCACCTCCTCAGTGTTGCGATTATAGGCCTGTTAGACACAACACTCGCTTTATGAGAACTCATTCTTAGGAGGCCCTCTACTTACTGACTAACAGCTCCAGCCCCAGAAATGTTTTTCTTTTTCTTTTATTAATAATTTACTTTTGTATTTTATGTGCATTTGCGTTTTGCCTGTGTCTATGTCTTTGTGAGGATGTCAGTCCTTAGAGTTACAGACAGTTGTTAGCTGTCATGTGGGGCCCTGGGAATTAAACCTGGGTTCTCTGGAAAAGTAGTCAGTGCTCTTAACCACTGAGCCATCTCTCTAGCCCTCAGAAAAGTCTTTCTAAAGCTTCATTTATTCATGAAATTTTTGAAAGGACCTGGTGTAATGGCTCAGCCAGTAAAGAAGCTTATTACCAGGCTGATTCCCTGAAATAGAGATCCCCGATACCCACATGAGTGAAGGAGAGAACAGATTCCTGGAAGTTGTCCTCTGACCTCCACACATGTGCCATGGCAAGCATAGGTGGATGTATATTACATACACACACACACACATACACACACACACAAACACATGCACACACAAATAAATAAATAGATAGATGAATAAGGTAAAATAATTTGCAACATGTTAATAATGATTGTGAGAAGTCCAGAAACACAAGGAATTACTTAAGGAAGACAAGTGGAGCTAGCTTCAAACGAATGAAAGTCTGGGGGGGGGGAGCGGGGGAGGAACAGAGAAAAAGAAAGGACGAGAGTTTAGAAATGGATCACTGTCAGAAATATTTTTGTACAAGTACAGGAAGTTGCTTTCAGAAAGGCAGGCCGCAGACTTACACATGGCCTTGCCTAAGGGGCCCTGGGATTAGAAAACAGCTTTATGATCTTCCAGTGGCTGTGCTTTTTGTTTGTTTTGTTTTGTTTTATGGAGTTTCTATTGATTTGGATCTGTACTGTGGTCAGACATTCTCTGAAGCTAAAGAAAAGAATGCAGAGGCCAGACATGCTAGAACCTTTCCCTCAGTACTGTCATTAAGGATGAAAATGTGCTTCTGTTTGTCCCATATTTCAGGAAATTGAGGGCAGTGGTGGCAGAAGGTCACCAAGTATCTGAGAGTGAGAGCAGGCTGCGCTTGGTGCAAGCAGAAGGATTGTAAGGTAAGTTAAAGATCGGCCTAGGCAACAAAGAGACTGTCCCAAACAATACAGGCATTACACCCTTGTTGCCCTAGCTCTTGGAAGATAGAAACAAAAGAGAATTATTCCCAAGTTCAAGGCTATACTATGGCCAGCCAGGGCCATATAGTGAGACTCTGTCTCAAAGACCCCCAATGATGATGATGATGGGTGGTGGTAGCAATAATTTAAAAAGGACTGGGACTGTATCTCAGTGGTAGAGCACTTGTCTAGTGTTATTCTTTTGCTCTGGTCCCTTTAAGGGCAAGCCACGCCCACTCCCAGCGACTTCTGACCTCCTGGTCACCATCTTAACTTTCTTTTTTCTATCCCCGTCTCTTGGCGTGTGCACACGTGTTTTTCCTCTCTCTCTGTCCTCTTTTCTATTTCTGCCTTTCTTTCTCTCCTTCTTCTTTAAGTAATAAATGTTTACCCTTATGCTTAGCCTTACATCTATTTACTATGGCCTGTGAGCCTTTTATCCGCCGTACCCACCCACCTGACTCGTCCGGGCGCATGGAAGGACCAGCCTGCCACCCTGGAGATCTTGCAGGGACCCACAGCCATCCTTGTCGGAGTAGCAGCTGCTCTGCGAGCCTGCCAGGGAACACGCCTGCCTTTTAAACAACAAAATCTAGTATATGTGAAGCCTCCAGTTTAATATCTAGTACCACACAAACAGCAACAAACCTGATAGCAGAATTTTGCTAGGGAGTTCTTGAGCATCTAGTTTCAGCTTTGAACTAGGAAGAATTGCTGTGTTGCTTAGTTATCATTCTTTGCTTAAAAAAATGCACTGAGACTCTATCCCACTGTCCTGGCACCCACCACTCACTCGAATTCCACCTGGGAAAGCAAAGCTCAAGAAGCAGGGGGTAGATGGCATGTGCACACATGCATGCATTTGTGTGTGTGTGTGTGTGTGTGTGTGTGTGTGTGTCTGTCTGTCTGTCTGTCTGTGTGAGAGACAGAAAGACTGACTGTTAGTGTTTCCAACCGCACAAAACAAGCTTTGTCCGTAGCCCAAGGTCATTCTTAGTATAGCACTGAGGTTAGTGGTCAGAGGGCTCTTGTTAGTAAACATAGGGGAAGCCATTGTGTTTCTAGGGTAGAGTTGTTTAGGACAAGAAAAGATTTTGCAAGTAAAAACTCACATGCAACCTTGCATTTTGTAACAAATGGCAACCTTTCGTTGGGTAGTGAAAAACAAAATTCCTTCAATTGCTAGGAAGCAATACTTCCCCTTGATTAACATAAAATCTTTTGAATGCTGGCCAGGAGAGCTGGTAGGGACCATGACATTCCTCAGCAATGTAGCATGAGTGCTCTCTCGGAAACCCTACATCATGCAATGCAGAGACTCTCTACCCAAGGGAGAGGACAAGACGGTAGGGGAAACATTTGCCCTTGTCTGGAGCCATTTTACACTGTCACTATTGGGGGGGAAGAGGTGGGAAGCAGGAGCTACCACTGCCTGTGTAGAAGCCAAGGCTGCTCCTAAAAGTGTCCTGTCCATCCTAGTCCCTACAAAAATTATCAGATTCCTCGTGTTACCAAGGGTCCAGAGGAAGACATCTGTATCCTACCTCCAGTCCTAAATATAAAGCCACTTGAAACATCTTCCCAACTGGTGCAATTAACCAGAACAGTCTGGTAAAACAATAGCCAAACTTCCTCTGTCTTACAGCATAGAAACCAACAGATAAATGCAAGCATGACGTATTCAAGTAAATAGACTCTTCAACAATCTCCTTAAATATGTTTCACTGGAACTTTTGCTGTTCTAGAGATTGTAACATGTCCAGCCAAATCACTGAAACTGAAGTAATAACATAATTTGGTAGCAGCTTTAATATCAATTGGCCAAACTTGCTAAAATTACAAGTGAGGCAAAAATAAGCAAAGGTGTTTTGTTGTATTTTTTTTGTTAAAAGAAACTATCTCACTTGCTTATTGTTCTCCAGTTTGAGGGAAAAGAACAAAATGCATGCTGAAACCATGCAGGACGATCCCAAGTCTAGCCACCTATGCGTCAGTCCTCCTCAGCAGTGGCTCTTTTGACTCGCTGACCTGAAAAGGAAATAGAGCTTGGGGTCTTTTTTAGTAGGAAACTGAATGCTATTCAGATATGAAGCCCAAGATCCTTGGGGAATGTAAATACAGAAAGTCCGGAGCACTGCTAGCCGGGTTTGCACAGAGAGCAGCGATGGGTTAGCTGGGGACGATTGTTGTCGGCACTGATCTCCATAACACTGGTCTTTGCTTTCCTTATCTGCCCGGCAAAGGAGCAAGGCTGTGACCTCCAAGGTCACTTTTAAGGAAAGAAACAATAGCACTAAAATAGTTGAGCAAAAGCTGGTGTCGAAATTTTCACTAAAGCCACCAATTATCTCCAGTAAGCTCTTCCAATCTAGAAATAAAGTGACAGTTTGTAAAACCCTGGGTTAGCCCTTTAATCCATTAGAAGAAAGAATATTCACCAGGTCTATGCTGCTACTGCATTGGAGATAATGAAGGTCCTTTTTTTTCCTTCGGTAGAACAAATGAAATCAGGATGTTTATATCAGAGAAATGATTCTCCAGTGTCCGGATCTACTTATGAGTCTGTGATGAGCGCACGCAGGTATTTAATATAACTGAGTTTGAGTGGTGTTTGGCCCTGAAGACTCTTCCCTCCCACTAGGCTGGACTAACTTCTACCTTAACATCAGTCTAAACGTTAGTTTCGAATTTTCCAAGCAAATCTGTAGTTAAAAGAGATTTCCAGCGCGCAGAGAATAACAAGTACCTCTGCCTGGGACACTCCTGAAAACCAAAAACAGGAGAAAACACCAGACAAGAGCACAAACCAGGGGCAAGCAGCAAGCAATACTACCTGGTTTTCCTTTTCTCTCCCCCCTCCCTTTACAGGAAGTCTCTGGCCGGAAGTCATGCCACAGAGCATGCAGGTGCCTTGCAGGAAAGGACGCACCCATGTTAAGCCCGGAAGGAACCGAGGAAGTCGAGTTCTGCTTGTTTCTCTACCAATTTTATTCCCCTGTCTGCACCACCAACCTAGAGCAGCCGGCTAAGTAGAGTACTCTTGGCTGCTGCATGCGACTAGTGGAGTTGTCTCTGTCTCCTGAATTCTGGGATTAAAGGCGTGAGCCACCACTGCTTGATGATTTATTTTCCTTTTTATAACAGAGGAATAAGACAGTTAAGATGCTGACAGACATGGTTTCTTAAGACAGGATACAACAGTGGCCAATCAAGCATTAGCTGCAGAAATGATTTTTCTGAGACAGGGTCTCACTGTGTGGCTTTGACTGGCCTGGAACTCACTCTGTAAACCAGGTTGGTCAAACTCAGAGGTTCTCCTGCCTCTGCCTCCTGAGTGTTGGAATTAAGGGTATGTGCTTTTATGACCCACATAAATGCTTTTTTTTAAAAAACTGGGAAGTATTTCTAAGTATCTCTAAGGTTATTTATTAAAATGCATGCCCTTGAAAATGAGAACTTGAAAACTGGAAGGAGAATAAGAGAAGTCCTCCTCCATTTCAGATGTTGTGGGCTAGATCTGTTTCCTTTGCCTACACTGTAAAGTTTTGAAAAGATAACAAAAGCTACCTCTCCTCTTGCACAAGATGTACCATCTTGAATTCTTACAGTGTGGCTGCAGTCCACATTAATGGTACAGGAAGTTTTTTGGTTGCTTGCTTTTTAGTTCATAATGGAAATGGAACCTGCTTGCAAAGCTCATACCCATGCATCCTAAAGTATGAGCATCATCTGCCTTGGAGGGAAAAGCTCCACTCAAAACCACTAGGATCTGAAAGCTTGGTTTGTAGACATTTGAGCATCTTAGAAGTGATGTTAGAGCCCTTTCAGACTCTCTGTTAATGCTTGTTCAGCAGTGATAAATAGTATTGATTGGAACCAGGAGCAGATTAATAACAGAAGACAGATAAAAGGGCTTCCCCTTTACCGTCATTTCCCAAAAGAGATTGCTCTCAGCTATTAGAGTATGAAACGTTCTTCCCTTCCCTAAGTGGAGCCACAGGGATGCCTGCTCAAGGGAAAATGCTCCATCTTTAAGAGCAGTTGAGGAAAGGGTCTACACCCGGCGTTTTGTCAACAGGATCCAGCTTGCCATTCTTTGTGTGGTACCTTTAGATGCTACACTAAGCAAACAAAAATATGAGAAAAACAAAAGACCTTTGTTCACATGTTAAGGGTTTCATGGGATGAGTATTAGAGTCCTGGGTAAGCCATTGCATCCATCTTGTGTGAATGCTTCCGAATCCCGATGTACCTGAAGGTTATACTGAAACTAGTACTATTTATCAGTCACTTGTGAGAAAGCCCTGGGAACTTCCCGTTTCATGTGGCCTGTGATAAAGATTGCAAAATGTAATACAACTTTCTTTGTCTCTAATATTTTAAGCTATTTATGAACGCGTTAGAACTCCCCTGCAGATGCTGACGCAGACAGAAGACAATGGAGAGGAGGCTGTATATCTGTCTGGTTTGGCTCCTCCCTAGGAGACTTGGGGAGAAATTGGGACACCTCCACGGACTAAAACGATGCAGTTTAACAGAAGGACTTACAAGGATGCCTTGTCTGAGATAGGAGACAGTACATGACCAGCAGAACGATGGGACTGCTGTGAGTAGTTGGAATATGAGACCAGAAGACTTTCAACCTCTCCTACTACTGAATCTAGTGTCTCTACAGAACAAATACCCGAGAGAGTTGGTGGTGGTGCAGGGCTGTAAGTAACCTCAGCACTTGGATGGTAGAGGCAGGAGGATCAGGAATTCAAGGTCTACCTCAGATACAGAACCCAGTTGAGGCCCTGTCTCAAAAACACCCCCACCTCTTAAAAAAAAAAGAATTAGTATCTGGTCACCCAGTTGCCATTGGTGTCAAAGTTCTGATCACAACATGTGCAGTTTACTGAAGGTAGAACACTGTGGTCACGACCACAAGTCCCAAAATAGACGTTCTCTTTGGGCCTGAAGGGCCCCTCCCTTGAACTGTGCAGGGTTTGCATGCGTGCACTTGAAGTTGCGTGCAATGGCTGGAGGCATTCTCTTCCCCTATGCTAACTCAAGAAAACAGAAGGGTGTCTTAGCCAGACACAAGCTGCCCTCACTTGGTCCCTTGCTTCTCTATGCTCTGGCAGCGGCTGATGGCTTTCTTCCGTCTCTCAATCTGTCAGGAGAATGGTTGAGGCATAGAGTCTCTCAATTAGAATGCAAGCCACCTCCATTGCGGTCTGCCTGGGTGAGCTTTTTATTTACTACGTCTGAGTGTGAAAGCCATGGCTTTTAGCAGGGTGCGTGGAATAAGTTCTTGTTTTAAGCAAGTGTGAATAAAGTTCAAGCAAATGCGAGGCTGATACTTTCGCCTCCATCTTGTCTTCTGGACTGTTAGCATGTTGCCCTTCTCCCTTCTCATATTATTAATTCATGAAAGCACTTCCCCAAGAGGACTTCTTCATGATAAAAAAACACTTATTGTTATAGGGAATTTGGACAATATAGAAAAGCTCAGCTACTGAGAAATTGCTGATGCTTTCCTGATGGCGTTTCTTCTTTCATTTTTGAGACAGAGTCTCATGTACCCTAGGCTGGCCTCAAGCGTGACATGGAGCTGAGAATAACTTTCGATTTCTGATCCTCCTGCTTCTGCCTCCCAAGGGCTGGGGGTCATTGTCTACATCTTTCCTTAAACGCATGTTTCTCTTTTGACCAACCTAGGGCATCTAATTTTTTTTTCATGTTGTATGAAATTTTACTGACATATTTCCATTCTCCTGCAACACGACTATTAGTAACTATGCTTCTTGTAGGAACATGTCATATGTGTGTTTACTTTACTTTTGGAGGCTATTTAAGAGGCAGACAACTTTGCTCCCATGAATCTTTCTCTGTAGTTTCATTGTTTTGGTTTGTTTGCTTGTTTGGTTTTTTTATTTTATTTATGAATACCAACCAAGTCTACCGTCTTGAATTAAAACTTTGAAGGTTAATGGATTGTCTGGTTGTCTGAACCAATTTGGGGCCATATCAGGCTTTCTTTATTTTTGTTAGTAAAGGACTGCTGGAATTTAGGACTGATAGTGACCCTGCCGTGGTCATGAATGACAGCAAAATGCTCCCTATGTGGGATTTGAAGATGTAAGAGGACAGCTTGTCAGACATGGGCTTGATGGTATTTTCTGGAAAGCGATGAGGACTTTTATTTTCACAGTGGCATGAGTACAGAAGTCCAAAATGTCTCCATGTTCCCCCAACCCACACACCTATTGAAGTGTCCCAGTAAGTTGTGAGGCTTCCGTGAGAAGAAGGTAGATGCATGTGTGTGCTTCATTCCTGGTCAAAGGAAAGTGTGCTAGAGCTGAACTCGGAGGTCATCTGGCCCCAAAAGTTCTCTGTAGACTCGACTCTCTGCAACTTCTATCCATTGTCTGTTTTTCCACTGGTGATAATAATAGCCGGTCCCTTCCCCAGGGATAGTTGGGGCTCAATTCCTGTTTATCCAAAGCTTGGAAGCCAGGCCGTGGGAGGGCAAGCGCAAAGGACTGAAAGGGAAGTGCAGCCTTGGCTTGGGTGCACACATCTCTCACAGATGGCAATCTAATGAGGCTTTGGGTTGCTCGTGAACTTAGCCCCGGGGTTAATAGCCTTCATCCTTACAGAGCTTCTGCGCGGGTTGTGCAAGGGACTTATGATGTGATCACCAGGGTAAAAGCACGGCTGTGGGGCTGATAACAAACAATTACACAGGCCCGAAAGGAACACCGATGTTTTAAAACACTTGGCGGACACCGAAGCTGCAAAGCGTGTTATCGGGCCAGGCCATCGCCTAGAGGGGCCAGCTGAAGCTCCATCGAACACATCCTTTTACAAGCTCTGAGCTTTCGGCGGCCTTTGAAAACCAGTCAAGCTGTGGCTGGCTTTTTCAGAGGCTGCCCGCCGCTCAGTTTACAACAGTACAAATTGGCAGTGCCGCAAGAAAGAGACTGAAATCCAATCCACGGCTGGGATTGAAAGCTCCAGAGGCTCAGATGTCAACAGCACTGGGGTATGGCTTCTCTTCTAATTATGTCCTGTCAAATGAGGGCTGAAAATGCCAGCCCTAGGCTTGAGACTCAGGCCACTCCAGCCACCAATGACACTGGGCTGGGGCCCAGTTGAAATGATAAAGAATGAATTTGAAAACCCCTTCAGTTGATTTCAAGACTTCCTGGGACTGCGGCATTTAAACCACAATGTTCTTCTTTTGGGGCAAAGGTGGGAGCCAATCATGAGTGAGGTTTCGTAGCATGTCCTGTCTATATTTGGCTATAATCTTGCTTCATTCAAGTACATTTATGGTATACGCGCTTGAAAAGCGAGACTTCCGCGTTTTTATCTCTCTTTATTACAAAGGAGCCTTATCTTTATGCATTTGGAACTGCCTGGGAACTTACAGTATGGAAGCAGAGTAAAGAGAGCCAGTGTCGAAAATTCCCTTAAGGAAACAAAACCAAACTTCAATTGTAGCTTCTGGTTTCACACTATTTATATTTAAGAAGTACATAAAACAGAAGCCAGTTTATCCTACGTAATTCTAACATGAAACAGATCTATGAAACTGTGGGGTGTTGAAGGACACAGAATGCACTTTACCCATGATGTTTGATTGGAGATCGATTTTCAGAGCACTGAAGAAATAAGCGCATCCACTCTCCTATCTTACAGAGGTTTTGAGCTGGCATCTTTATTCTGCAGCTTGAGCTAGCTTAGAATTACCTATGGAGCCCAGGATGGCCTGAGATTGCAAACTATCCTATTGTCTCAGCCTCCTGAGTGCTGGGGCGACAGTCATGAGCCTGGGCCCAAGCCGGGCTTTGAAGTGTTGCAAGGGGAAGATGATTGAATCTTGTAGGGAGCACACAACTGTGATGAGGCTCACCGGCGTTTTGAGTGAACCCCATTTGCCCAGCGTCACCCACTTCATTCCCACCGCGACCTCAGGAAAGAGAGTCGAGTCTTCAAATCTGCAGACGGAAAAACTCTGGCAGGAGGAAGGGCTCCTGGGGCCCCAACTCTCCCCTACGGACTTATACAAAGAGAGCCATGGATGAGAGGAAACATTTTCTTTAGTGGGAGAGGCATGGGAACAGTGCACGTGGCACTGCAAACAGACTCCCACCCCCCTCTACGTAAACCCTCACCCATGCTCCTGGAAACAGATAGAACCCATTGAGTTGGGAGACAAAGATATGAAGGTAGATGGATGACTAGCTGGGAAGAGAAAGGAAATTCACTGAAACGGAACCTGAGGCTTGTTCCTAGGTGCTTCAGGAGATCATATCCAGAAGGGTCTCTCAGATAGGAGCTTGGGAACCCCACGTGGGCCTCTCATTTAGGGTTTCAAGCTCTGCCAGTCTTAGGGTGCCCTTTAGAAGTCATCTCAACGGCATGGATAACAAAGTGTCTGGGGCAGAGAGCCCCAAAATATAGTCCTTTGTGTTTTCAAAAGTAGAGAAACCCTAAGAGGAGTACAAGGCAGCCTAGCCTCTAGGAACTACAATGGGCCTTCATCAATCAATACTGCAGTGAGGTTCATGAGTGAGTTATTAGCTCTCTCTACGGGATATTTGGAGTCAGTTTTAGTTGCCACATCTGGGGTGGGGTGGTAAGGATTATATTAGTTTCGACTGAGTTGACGCTAGGGTTGCCACTAATCATCCTATAAAAAACAGCATAGCCCTCAGTGCAAAGAAGGATGTGGCCCCCGACACTATTGCTCCCTTCCCAGTGTGAAACCCTGTCTTTTTCATTTGGGGCATTGTAGCGACCACTCACAGGAAGCTCTGTCTGGGGCTTCTTCAAAGAGTCATTGTGCAAGCAGGAAGTCAGCAGCCCATGAAACTAGAAGGGGGATCAGAAAGCAGACAGAACCACACACATGGCTTTTAGCTGACTATATTTTTCTTCTTGACAGAGAGAGGTCAGTGTTTGCGTCTATTGCTAGGCCTCAGGAGAAGGCAGGGGCTGCTTTGGTGTATTAGATTAAAACATGATCTCCTAAGGAATCACTCTGTGAATGCTATTTTATGTGGAAAAAGACAGTCTTTATAGAACATGATGGAATTAAAGACCCCTCCTCGTACACACACTGTGACGGGGTTTCATATAGTCCAGGATCGTCTTAGACTACTGATTCTCCTACCGTTACTTCCTGAATGCGGGGATTACAAGTATGAGTGAATATAATCAGTTTATGCCGTGGCTTCACACGTGCTAGAAAGCCCTTTACCAAATGAGCCATAATCCCAGCTGTGAAGTTAAAGAGCTGAAGACAAATTGTTCTGCAACATCGACGAGGGCCTAAAATACCTCGCCTATCTCCTTGGGAGAAGGAAGAAGGGGGAGGTACCGTGTGTGCACACCAGAGAAGGCAATGTGACAGCAGCAGTAGAAGGTACCGTGATGAGGCCACAAGCTAAAGAGTGCGGGCCCTGGGATCTGGACAAACAGCAAAGGCACAGATGTTCTCTTCGAGCGTCCTGGGGACACACAGCCCAACCCACACCCTGCTTTGGGCCGAGAGATACTGATCTCGAAATTCTTGTCCCCAGAACTGTGAGGGAATAAAAGTCTCATTGTGTAGAAATGGTCAGCCAGTGGCTATTTGTTCCAGCAGCCCCAGGAGACTCATTTACCTGGATACCCTACAGTCCCCAATTCACCCACTACTATTAAAGGGCAAACTATTGACTGCAAACAAGCCCATTGAGAGGCAATGGAAAATTCCTTTGCTCTGGCCTAATCTGTGGCACCTGCCTCCTCTCTGCCCCTCCCTGTCACTAGTGGTCGCTGACTGCCTATTCAGCTGCTCATATGGCATCTCCATCATACGACGCAAGGCTACAGAGTCTCCTATGGCGTTTAATCTGGATCTCTGGTATGCAGGGGTGCAGGCCCACGTGCGCCCATCCTATATCACACTGTGTAGTAGTTCTCTTTTCCTCGTTTGCTTATTTTATTTTGAGGCAGGGTGTCATATAGCCTGAAGTAACTCTGAACTCATTATATAGCTGAGGATGATCTTGAACTTCCGTTCTTCATGCCACCACTGTCCAAGTGCTGGGATTACTGGTGTGCACTACTCTATCTGGTTTTATGTGGTGCTGAGGGTGGAACTAGGGACGTTGTACATGCTAGGCCAGCATTACATTAATGGAGCCCCAGTCTTAGCCCTAGCTGTGTACAACTAACATTTTATGCATTTATTTATTTGGTTTTGAGAGATAGTAGTAGTCTTGGCTGTCTTGGAACTCATTCTGTAGACCAGGCTGCCTGTCTTTGCCTTCTGAGTCCTGGGATTAAAGGCATGCGCCACCACCACCCAGTTTAATGTTTTTTTTTATAAAGCACTTAGGTGTTGTGCTTTGCATGTATATATATGCATACATATATATGTATGTATGTATCATGGTGCTCATGAGGAGGTTGGAGGACAACCCCAAGCATCAGTTGAGACAAGGTCTCTTGTTCACTGTATTCCAGACTAGCTGGCCTGTGAGCTCCCAGAGAGTTTCTTGTCGCTTCCTTCTGTAATTATGGAGAAGCACTGGAATTGCAGATGTGAGGTACTGAGCCTGGCTTCCTGCAAGCCTTCCAAGGATCAGAATGCAGGTCCCCATGCTTGCATGGCAAGCCCTTTACCCACAGAGCCACCTCTTCAGCCACTTGAAGCAACAGAAGTCCTTTCCTGTGCCACATGCACGGTTGACTACACCAGCAAGACTGAGTGTTAGAAAGACACTGAGTATGAAGAACTGCCGAGAGGCAGATCCATGAGAAGCACATGCCTCGCATCATGGTGGCGAGCTGCATCTTTTCGACTGCCCTCTCCTGGTGCTAGGACTGACAGAGCCTATGAAAGCAAACATTTGAAGAGGCAATTTTGCTTAGTGCTGAGGTCCGGCTGAGCTGGCAATGGCAGGCAGTGAGAACTATGAGAATTATGTTAGCTGAGGGCCGGCAGGGGCATCTGAAGAAGCCTCATCTCATGCCAAGCGACAGCTCCATTCCAGCCCAGGCACAAAGAGAGCAGCCCCTCCTGCTCTCCCAGCTGCCAGCTCCCTTCAAAAGTGAATTCCTGCATGCCAGCTGCTCCCCACTGGAGTGCCACTGAATTCTTGAAATCCCAAGCAGCTTTGGGAAAGCAACCAGAGAAGGAGAAGGTATTTTAAGGAGTGTAGTAGTGTCACCGTTCTGAGGAAAGAGGAATGCCAGCACTTGTCTCTCCACAAGGTGGACATGACAACAGCCATCATTCATGTGAGCAACATTCCTTACGTGCAAAAGTTTATTGCGTCTCATTGTGGCCTTGTGTCTGGGTTGTCGCATCCTTCCCTTTCTTCTGTTTTTCTGTGCAGTGCGTTTTACTCTTCCCCAAAGGCAACTTGTTTCTGTAAGATGTCTTCTGTCCTTTCTTACAGAGTTTGAGGTGCCAGTCAAGGAATCCAGGCTCCTTCAGACTCAACTCACTCTTTATTGACTTTCCCGAAAATCCTCTCTCTCCTTTGTTCCTTCCTTCCCATCGAGGGAAAGAGTTGGCCACATCCATGTGACACCAAATAGTCAGACTGAATCAGCAAATAGGAAATGTCCATCCTCAGGTTCCAGGAAGTCAGTAACAACAGGGTAATCTAGTATCTCGTTTTCTTTCTATTTATTTTTCCATTATTTTTCTGCTGTGTAAATATTGTGTTCTGAAAACAGCAACATTCCCGTTACTTGATATTTTTGTCCTTTTGCATGTACCACGGAGTTATCCCCCGCCCCAGCCCCTCCTTGGCCATTTGAGAGCTTGTTGAATGGTTTGTTCTAGACCTGGCTTTGAGACCAAATTCATGTTTGTCTCTAGAGTTGGAGAACCATGAAATGGGGATTACGCCTAGGTTTTTCGTATTGCTTCCCTTGTGTTCAACTTCTACTAGTTATTTCAATACCTTTGTTCCTAGATCTGTCACAATTTTCTGCTCATGTGCTTTTGACTCTAAAGACCATGTGTGGTTGATGAATAATTGAGCATGCAGTTTAGCGAAGGTTTCCTTTTTTAAAAAACCAAATTTCCTTCTCTCGGTTTTCTTTCTTTCTTTCTTTCTTTCTTTCTTTCTTTCTTTCTTTCTT